TGCCATAGCCCCCTGGGACAGAGACCCCCAGTATTGTAATAGCCCCCCTGCACGGTAGAGACTCCAGCTTGGTCATAGCTGCCCCTGGGTAGTGCCCCCCTCCCCCGATCTGCAGTAAATAACCCCCACTAGCTCAGCCACAGCTGTCCCCCAGGCATCATCTCCTCTGTTCTGCCCCCTCCTGCACCCGGCCACGGCTCCGGGCCCCCCATGCCATGCTGGGGCACCCGGGGGGGCTTCGTGGACTCAAGCTGGAGCTATTCGGTGTCAGGGCAGCTGTGGGGGCCCATGTGTGACCTTCACCTCTGCTGACAGCAGCCGTTCCCTATCCCCCCGAGCTAACCTGGGCCTCAGTTTGCCTGGCTGCAGCCAACCCATTTTAAACAGCGTGTAGCGCACCGATAGGAGCATTGTTACGGGACAGGAGATCAAGGAAGCAGAGACGTCAGGAATGGGGGGACGGGGTGCAGAGCTGCTTTCTGCTCCATCTCTTGCACCCTCTGTTTGCCCCAGCTTGGGGGCTTGTCGGGGCAGAGGAAGAAGGGGTCAGGGGTGCAGGAGCTGCCCGTTGCTGCAGCTTGCGGGGGCCCAGGAGAAAGTTGGGGCTGGGGGAGATGAGGCTGTGAGGCGGGCCACCCCCCTGCCGCCCCCTGAGTTTGGGGGCCTTGAGCGAGGCTGCTTCCACCCCAGCGAACCACTCCCTGCCCCGCGCTGACCCGGCCTGGGATTATCAGGGAGGGGCCGGCTCCAGCGTCGCCCTGGCCTGCCCCGTGCCTCGACCCCATGTGCCCTGGGCCCGTCCACGGCCCCACGCCTGCGTGGGCGGGCGCCTGCCGTGTTGCGACGGCGAGGCCGTGAGCAGAGCCGTGCAGCCGGCTGTGCTGTTCCACCCCAGAAGCAGCTGCGAGCAGCGGGGGTTGGTCCGTAGCTTGCGATGAAAGCAGCTCCTTGCGGGTAATAATCGCACGGAGGAGTTGAATGAGGAAACCCCGATCCCATATCACCCCCCTTCCTTGATCTCCTGTCCTATAACAATGGCACCCTGCTCCTATCGGCGCTCTGCACGCTGTATAAAATGGGTCGGTACTTCCTGCAGGCTACAGCCAGGCAAACCGAGGCCCAGGTTAGCTAAGTGACGGGCTTGAGGTCACGCAGCAAGTGAGTGGCAGTGCTGGGAATGCAGCCCAGGCCTCCTGGGTCCTGTTCTGCAACCTCCTTTCGGGTGGCCGGAGGCTGGGTGTAATTAGGGAGGAGGAAGGATTTGCATTTCTGGGGACCCGATTCGTCCCGGATGCAACACAGAAGCCTGGTTCCCAGCATCTCGTGTGCAGGCCTGCTCTCTCTGAGTGCCTGATAGGCCCTCCCGGGCCGGCCTTTGCATTCAGAGATGGCTCCGGGGTCCGCAGCCCGTGCCCTGATGCTATAAAGACCCAGCCTGGGGGGGGCAGACAGAGGTGGGGGCGGGGGTGGCCTCCAGGTCCCTGGCAGGAGCAGGCACAAATGTAATTGAGGGAGCTCCCTGCATCGGTTTCTGTAGCCACCGATCTGGCACCAGCCTCTTCCTTCCCTTCCCTGCTGGTTTTGCTGCCTGTCCTTCCGGCGGGCCGGCCCCCGCAGCCCCCGTCCCTGACGCCCGGCTGACGTACACTGTACATGGATACCAGATGCAGCAAAGCCCAGCTCCGCTCGCCTCCGATGGGGGCTCTTTTTTAAAGGGGCGCCGGCAAGGAAATCGCTTGCAAATCGTGCTGCTCGCAGCGTTGTGGCTCGGGGGAGCGGGGAGGGTCCAGGGAGCCGCGGCTTTTGCCAGCCGGCCGCTTTCCCGGTGGGTTTCTAGGCTGAGGTCTAAACACGGAGGATGCTTCGGAGGCCGGGGATGCGGTGGAGGTGCTCGCAGCACCCCAGGGCGGTGTTGTTAACCCTGCTCCCTACCTGGGGAAACTGAGGCACGGGGCAGCTAAGTGACGTGCCCGAGGTCGCCCAGGTGGCATGTCTGGAGATGTGCCGGGTGCCTTGAACTCCTGAGGCCGGCCCTGGGCTCGGCTAAATGCGACGCGGGCCGCGGCCCAGCATCCCTGGCCGTTGCACGCTGAGGATCGCGGGAAGGCCGCCTCGCTCACCACGACCCGGCATCCTTCAGCCCTGGGGTCACCTTGGCGCAGGGGGCCCGGGGCACAGACGGGTGGACGTGACGGCAGTCTTTGCACGCAACGAATATCGAATCCGGTTCGATAGAGACTAACGGGGGCTGGAAGGGAACCGCAGCAGTGCAGCCCCCGAGGCAGCGTCAGCCGCACGCCGGTTGTCTGTCCCCCACCCTCTGTGTTTAGTATCGCCGGTCTCCCGATGCAAGCACGAGGGCTCGCGACATAAAACGAGTCGGCAGGAACTTCACGATTAACACGAGGCCGCTCTTTTTCATCCAGCGTGTTACTAAAGGGTCGTTGCCACCAGACGTGTGGGAAGCGGGCAGTTCGGCCAGGGATGGGACTTGCGCTTGGAGGAAAGGGGCACGGGTCGGTATTGAGCACGGGAGCGAGGGGCACGGCCTCTGAAGCGGTCAGACCTTCATGCTTTTGTTCAGGAGGCGCAGACGTCTGGGCACCGATGGGGCTGGGGAAACACCTGCCTTTGCTCCCAGTCCCGTGCTTGCAGCGCTTCCGGAGGGACGCATCCTGGCCGGGGGTTTCGTTCTCCGTCCGCTCCTCCCCACTTCCCCCGGCTGAGCTGAGGCTGTCCTGCTCCGGCCCCGCTCCGGCCCTAGCTAGGCTGGGGGGTGGGAAAAGCATCCTATTGCATCCCCCAAATCCTGGTCTGGTCTGATCTGAAATCCCCACGAGGAGCTCGGAGATGGGCTGCTGCCCCCCACCCCGGCAGGGCGGTCTTGGCAGGGTGGGTTTCCTGCAAGCAGAACAGCTGTGCGGGCTCCGGGCCGGTCGGGAGCCTCGGGCATTGGTGCTTCGCCAGCCCAGCTCGGCGCCGTAGTGGGGGCAGGAAGGGATTATGTGCAGTTGGCAGGCAGAGGGAAGGAGAAGCAGCCAAGGGGGTTTTCCAGCGCGGTGGAGGGATCGTGCCCTGCAGTGTTGTTCAGGATCGCAGAAGTGGTTCGGGACGTTGCAGCGGCTGCGAGGTCCTGAGATGCCCCCGGGACTGGGCACTGGCACGGAGGAGAAGGGCTGTGCTCGCATACCTCTCAGCCCCTCAGCACCAGACTCGGCCTGTGCTGGGGGTCAGCCGAGGGGCTGCTCATCTCATCTGGACGTGAAGCGGGTCTGGGACGTGGAGGGGGGCTGTGTACCCTGGACACGGGCGCAGCAGATGGAGCGTCCCAGGTCCGGCATGTCTCCGCGGCGGGGCAGGTAGCTCCTGGGGGCACGGGCTGCAGGGATGATCCACGCACTGAGCGCACGCATGACTCAGGGCCCCGTGCACAGCTGTGCGCCTCCGTGGAGGGGTGCGATGGGGAACGAGGACAGAGGGGGTCGGGAGATGGGCTCTCCTAACCTTGGTGCTGCCTGTCTCCCCTCCAGGCCTATCTGCGAGCCATCGACGTGAAGATCCTGCAGCAGCTGGCGGCCGTGAACGAGGGCATCGAGGCGGTGAAGTGGCTGCTGGAGGAGAAGGGGGCCCTGACGAGCCGCTGCAGCAGCCTGACCAGCAGCCAGTACAGCCTGGGGGGCAGCCAGGAGACCTCGCGCCGCGGCAGCTGGGCCAGCCTGCAGGACCCCAACGACCGGCTGGACAGCGTCTCCATCGGCAGCTACCTGGACACGCTGGCCGACGAGCTGGACGAGTACTCCCAGCACACCGCGGACCCCCGGCCGGGTGCCCCCCTGGCCCGCTTCGAACAGGACTGGGCCGTTGTCGACCCCGAGCGGGGCCCGGCGGGGAAGGCGGGCTCCCCCGGGGCCTGGCCGGAGCCCAGCTCGGGGGCTGCAAGCCCCCCGGG